CTCCCTCCTGACGGGCTCCTCTCTCCCTAGGGACTACCTCCACGCCCACATAGTTATACCTAAACCTGGCAAAGACCCGTCTCAATGTAGTAGATACCGCCCTATAGCTCTCCTCAACCTGGATCTGAAGGTCTTTGCCAAGATTTTGGCCAACAGGTTACTCACGCATATCCCGGGCCTTACTTGGACCAAGCGGGTTTCGTCCCGGGACAGGAGCCAAGGGACAATACCACAAGAGTGCTCAACGTAATACACCACGCCCGCTCCACCCAGTCACCTTTAATGCTATTGTCCACCGACGCAGAGAAGGCGTTTGATAGGGTGGAGTGGCGCCTCCCTCAAACCACCCTTCACCACATAGGCTTGGGTCCTGGAATGTTGCGGTGGATCTCCGCACTCTACTCGTCCCCGACGGTTGCAGTCCGTGTGAACGAAGCACACTCCGACTTTTTCTCCATCTCCAATGGTACGCGACAGGGATGCCCCCTCTCTCCACTCATATTCATCCTCACCCTGGAACCGTTCCTCTGTCGCGTACGCTCCCTGCAGGGCTTTCAAGGCCTGATAAAACGCTCTGGTGAGCGTAGAGTAGCCGCCTTCGCGGATGATTTGATCTTCTTCATCCCTTCCAATCCTGTTGCGGGAAATGGATCGCTACGCCTCCATCTCAAATTTTTAAATAAATTACTCCAAATCAGCTGCTCTCAATGTCTGCCTCCCTCCTGTGGAGGAGATTCATCTGCGATCCTCCTTTCCATTTGCTTGGGCCCCGGACGCTCTGACCTACTTGGGCACCCTTAGTAGGGATCCCACGCGAATATATGAGCTCAACTTTGCCCCCCTGCTCCTGAAGATTAAGCAGGACCTCCTGTCCTGGCATGCGTTGTCACTCTCCTGGTTCGGACGCTGCAATGCCATCAAAATGACCACCCTACCCAGGGTCCTTTACCTGTTCCAAGCACTCCCGATTCACATCCCGCCACTATTCTTCCACCGCCTGCGCCAAATGTTCACAGCTTTCCTGCGGCCCTATGCCCCCCCAGAATCCGATACTGTCCCGTCACCCTTCCCAAGAACAGAGGGGGTATCGGACTCCCGGATCTGGCCAAATACCATAGGGTGACCCACCTAGCCCGCATTTGGGATTGGTGCGGTCACCGGAAAACCAAGCAGTGGGTGGGAATGGAAGAAGATGACACTATCTCAAATAAACAAAAAGGTTCGGGCCGTCTGCCAGTTCGAGGCGGTCCAAGGGTTACTTTAAAGATCGGGACGTACTATGGATTTAGTTTAATGAAAAAATATTTATTTATTCAATTTCAAATATAACAAACGTGGCCAAACTATATTTGTCGACCAATAAAAACAAAGTGAACAAAAAGGTTTTTTGAGCTGACTGTTGTTTCTGTTGCCTTCATTCGGACTATTTTAACCCTTGTGGATTGTATTGCTCTTATCGGGACTTGTGGCGGTTTTTCCTCTGTTTACCAGGGTGTGTGTGGTTCCTCATTAAACTAAATCCATAGTACGTCCCGATCTTTAAAGTAACCCTTGGACCGCCTCGAACTGGCAGACGGCCCAAACCTTTTTGTTTATTTGAGATATTTTCCTGGTTATGGATCCTGGTAGATGTACTGAAATACAAGGGTAATTGATTAGAGCTAATGTATCTCCAGAAGCGGGACATCCTTTTTGTCTTTAAGAAGATGACACTAGCCCGGCCTTGGCTGGACTACCCTGGCTCTCCGCACCCCTGCCGCCCTCCACACGCTCACACCCTACCATCGCGCCCACCCTCCTCTTAGCTAGGTCACTATTTCGTTCCACGGACATCTCCCCATTCCCATCGCCTTTGATCCCGGTAATTGGAGACCCCAATTTCTCGCCCGGCGTCACTGACTCTCGCTTCCGTTGCCTTCGCGAAGCCAACAAATTCCACGTATGCGACCTACTCCTCTCCAGCAGATGGCTGTCGGCCGGCGACCTCAGGTGCCTGACAGAACCCCCCCTGGACCAGTGGGGTGCTCTCCATGTCTGATCACCAACGACTCTCCAGACCCCTGACTTTGTTCGAAAAGACCTGTAAGGAGGAGATACCCACTCGCCAAACAAAATACTCCTTGTATTCTATGTTGATCTCACCCCCCAGAGTCCTATCCAACATTCCTGGCCAAATGGGAAAATTACCTCAACACCACCTTCACACCGGCTCAGAAAGACCGCATACTACATCTTGCCCATCAGTCTTCCATCGACTCTAAGACCCAAGAGCTGGGCTATAAAATAGTCTCCCGATGGTATCGGGTCCCAACTGCCCTTCATGCCATGTACCCCCAAGTCTCACCTTTATATTGGAGGTGTCACGATACTGCACACGTTTTGGTCCTGTCCCCTACTGCTCCCTTTCTGGCAGGGAGTGACTGCCGCCCTGAAGGACCTGGTAATGGTGGCTCTGACGGACAACCCCGTGGCATGCCTGCTGCACTTAAACAATATGTCTATTGGGAAGTACAAAAAATCACTGTCTAGGCACCTCCTGAATGCTGCCCGCCAGTGCATTCCACTGTTGTGGAAACTACCTAGCTGCCCTACCCTCAGGTTATGGTACACTAAGGTAGACGAGACATACCTGAAGGAGGATCTAACCTCCACGCTCCGGAATACCGTGGAGCTCTTCCGGTCCACTTGGAGACCATGGGCCTCTTTTCAGGGCACTGATGCCTACCATCGGGCCATGCAAACAACGCCCCCCTAAGCGGATGGAAGGACCCTCATCCTAGGTGCCTGACCCACACCCTCCCTTCATACTCCTTATCCCCTCTGGCTCTCCCTCACTGCTCATTCCTTTCCCTTTTTCATCCCTCCCTCCCTCACCCCACCTGCTTGCCTTTCCATTCTACGCCTGTCTTTTCTCTCCCTGTCCCTACCCTGCATGCCAAGCACTTACATAACCCTATTTATCTGTTTTCACGTGCTAAGAAACGTTGCCAAATCTAAGTGCCAATATCCCTACCGACTGCTATGGTGTACAATGCCACATGAGGCCAACACTACACTTATTGCCTGCTCCTTGATAATGTTCTCTTTACTGCTCGAATTGCACCAACGTTGGCCTATGTGGCGAGCTGCTGATCTTTTTCATTGAGATGAACATCCCCCTCATATCCATATTGTATGCACTATGTTCTATGTATGCATTCTGGGGATGCGGTTATGATGTTGAGGCGGAGCCTCCTTGTACCATGCATATGTATAATAAAGTTGACTTCTGATTAAAATTTAAAAAAAAGCATTTGTATTAAAGAGTAACTTTACCCATATATTCAAAATAACAACAAAAGCACCTTTAGAAATGTTTACTAATGACAAACTATAAAGAGATGTTACTAGATAATTGCAGCCTTTTTATTTTTTGCATACCTTATTTTTATTTTCTTCCCCAGTCTTCTGACAGTGGCCATTTTAACTAAGGGCAGGATACTAGATCTCCTTTTACTTCCTGAAACTCTGGCACATGTGACTAGGACATGTGAGCATGCATACCATCTCAGGGGAGATCTCATCAGATTTCCCAGCAATGCACTGCTGATGTAATCTTCCCAGGATGCAACGCTTTGGCACATGACATCATGTGTGCCAAAGTGGACTAGGAAGTGGAAAAAAATAAATTGTAAGTAAAATAAAAATATGTTTGTTTAGCTAATGAATGTAAGGTGATTTCATATCAGCATGCAGAACTGTCTGCTGATGTGGTTTTTAGTCAAAGGGGGTAAGCATATATAGTTAATTTTATATATGTTCATTATTTCCATAATCGCCCCATTTAAACCACATATACATATAAAGGGAGAGAGGGATGACAGGTAACAAAAGACATGAGGAAATACCATAAGATGACAGAACATGATAAAGAAAAAAGCAGGCTCCATTTACACCTATAGTTTAGGTGCATTTAGGGAGTCCTGTGTCAGCATCTTGCAATTTCCTTCAGCGGGAATCCCAAATCTGGCGCTTACAAGAGGCGGCTGTCACACGTTCACATTCATAATTGGGTGACAGCGGCACCACACATATGTGATATGATTACATATGGTTAGCAATTAATCACTATCCCTGGACACATCGATTGTTCCTAACATACGATTACATGCGGTGTGTCAGCGTTCGGCCACTTTCAAATGCGCCCACTGTCACCCATTAATTTGAATGGGTGACAGCTGCTGCTTGTAAACGGAAGATCAGTAGGTCCTGCTGCAGGAAATCGCAAGTTCCTAGCGCAGGAATTCCAAATCGCACCTAAACTATAGGTGTGAATGGAGCCTTAAGCTAGCGATACACCAGTAGAGCTTTGTTAGAAAAAAATTGCTTGAAAATAGTTAATGGAGACAAATCAACGACAGTTGTCGATCATAGTGACTAGAAAAATTAAAGGCCCAGGATGAAAAGTTTTTCTAATTTCTTATCAGAACAAACAAAATTCTGACTGTTAATGTGGTCCTCAGTCAGAAAAAAAATGTACTTAAGCATGGGCTAGGAAAAAGTTTAATGCAAAATTAGAACTTCCATGTTCACAAACATTCCTTTTTATATCATACCAATTATGTATGATATAAAAAGAGTGTATGAAAGAGCAATGCAAGCAAAGGTTTCTGTAGAGTGCATGCTGAAATAGATGATGGCCTGATATATATTACATATATAAATGTACTTCTTTTAAATTTAAATAAACGTTGCTTGCATTATTCTTTTGTTGGTTTTTATGAGCAGTAAATAAGTTTAACCTGGGATTCCATAAAATTAGCAGATCTGGATGGAACTTTAGGATTTTTGAACTAAATTTGTTGACTAGATAGTGGCATCATCGAATCTCTAACAATTTTTCAGAATTCTAACCGTGTATAGCTAGCTTTAGAGATACTGGAAATAAAAACAGGTGAAAGAAGAGAACTGACACTTTGCTTGTCTGAAACGATCTTCAAAAAAGCCTCTATAGCACTGACCTGGCACCCGTGAGCGTAGAAAATACAGGAACTTTCCATTCTTTGAGTGCATAATTGCTCGTTTAATGAATTCAACTACAGACTGGCAGCGATCTTCAAACTTGGGATGACACCACAGACTAAATGTACCTAAGAAAGGAGAGATGTAATATATATATCACTCTGGCCAAGGCCTACACTGCAACGTTAACGCTCAGCTCCACCTAAGAAAGAACCATCTTTACCCCTTTACTTTAAATTGGTGTAAACTAAAAGGCTGGCTTCACATCTTTAAAATACCATTAAAGTGACATTAAACCCTCAGATTTTTTAACATAAAACAATACTGTAATGTGTGCCTTACTGTAATCCATGGTTGTTTCCCTTCTCTTTGCTACTGTAAAGTAGCCAGCGCTTCAAGCTCGATCCTGGGATGGACTACAATCTCATTAAAAATTAGTAAACTAAATGTGAGATTGTAGTCCATCACAAGAGGGAGCTTGGAGTAATGGCTACTTTACAACACACACAGGGACCATGGGGAACAAATGTAGCCACCCTCTAGAAGAAGGACAGTGTCAGCTGTAGGTCTGCAACTAGCCATTATTTTCATAATCTATTAGTTGGCCAGTTATTTTTTCGCTTAATCAGATTTAAAAAAATGATATACCATCTTTTATTTAAAATACAATGCACAAATGGAGTGTTACAAAAATAAAGTTTACTTCAGAATAAAACTGCATGCACAATTTTTTGCAATCGCACTACACTGGAACGCAGGGCATTGTGGGTACCAAGTGTTTCAATGCAGGCGATAACACTGCAGGCGGGAGGCGTGTTTGGGGTGCCATTGAAATGAATGGCATCGCAACACACATCCCACAGCAGAATTGGTCAGGCAGAAACTAAAAATTACTACTTTTTCCCCCATATAAAATAATGATGTGTATAGACATTTAAATTAGTTTAATGGATTTAAAACAATCTGAAATGAAAAACTACAATAAATAAATATATTTAAAAGCCTGGTCATCAGTTTAGAGTTAGCCATGCATATATTGGCCCGAGAATTATTGCTCTCACTCTGGTGCATGCAGCAATACCTGACATGTATAGTGCAATCGTAATTTTTATACATCGGTGCACCCGACTTGTGTTTCCGTTCCTATGCACGCATTTGCGGGGGCGGGGGGACTTTACATTTTTGGGGGTATTTTTAAAGCCATTATGTATTTTATTTTTTTAACCTTTATTTTAGTTGTTGTTGTTTTGTTAACTTCATTACTATCACATGGGGGAGAGGTGACAGGTTATCTTTAAAGGTGACATTAGGGGTCTATTAGACCCCTAGGGTCACCTTTCCACTTCAAAGGAGCTATATCCCCCTCCCTTTTAAATTATAAGCCCTCAGGGGCAGGGCCCTCCTTATGATCTTGTCTTGATTTGTATTGTGATTGTAATGTCTTCCCTATATTGTAAAGCGCTGCGCAAATAGTTGGCGCTATATAAATCCTGTATAATAATATATAAGCACAAAAAATGCTCCTTCAGGTCCTTATCTGCTGATTGACAGCAGGCAGTGAGCGAGTGCAATAGCTAGCCTGCTATTGGCAAAAGCCAATAGCAAACTGGCTATTGCACACACCCAATGCCTCCGAGCCTCTCCGACCCATCCAGCAGCGCCGCACCTGACCCGCCCCCCTCTCTGGCATCTCTCTCGGCCCTGGCGCCTGAAACGTTCATTGCCTTCCTACGGCTCCTATCAATAGAGGTCTAAAATAGTGCATATTCTCACCTCGATAGTGCTCCATGCGTGTGTGGTGAGTGATGCCCTGTGAGCGAAAGCTTAAGCTCAGAATATAGCGGGGATCAGAGCTGTCTCTTACTAGGAATGAGCCATCGGGTTTCCCCTTCAGCTTCATCTCTGCATCTTCCCAGTTCATGGGTCCCCAATACCAGCCACACTGTCAGGGAAGAGAAATAGTTATAGTTATAATAAACCTTTAATGCAAAGGGCATGTTAAACGTTAGGCAGAAACATGCTTTTACCTTTTCCAGCTCCCGTAAACTAGCAGCAAAGCTACTGGGATCCTGGTGTAAGATGGGGCACTGTAAGGGCTGCACAAGAGGAATTGGGGTGCACTCAGATGGCCGAATGGGAACCACTTGTGGCAGTGGTTCTGAAATGGAGAAAACACAAGAAATTCTTGAAACGCAACATCAAACTTCCAACATTTGTGTCCTAACATTAAAAAGGAATGTCCTATCAACTTGCATCACTGATAATTATCTCCCTATGTTTTTTTTATGAGCAATATGATCTATCTGGTTGCCTGCTGCATAGATTCTGCAGTGAGCCCGGGCTCTCCTAGCTCCTCCTATTGAGGATGGAAAGCATGGATGGAAAGTTGAAGCTCCAAGCACTCACCTTGCGGGTTCAGAATGCCAGTGGCAGCTACAAGGTACTTGGAGGGGAAATTAACAAAACTGGAGCAGAATGAATCTGGAGCAGCTGTGCATGGCAACTAGTTAGCTACTATATTTAATTTTCAAAGCATAAAGTGACACTAAACTCAGGAGTTAAACCTTAATTGCATTCAGCTTAAATATTAACAAAAATGTAGCTTATATGTGCATCACTTGGCTGTAGATCCAAAAATCATCTCTGAATTCGTGCCGACACTGTCCTTCCTTCTGGAGAGTGGCTACTTTTGTTCCTCATGGTTCCTGTGTGTAGTAAAGTAGCCACCACACCAAGCTTACTCCAGTGATGGACTACAATCTCATGTTTAGCTTACTAATTTGTTTGGAAATTATAGTCCATTACAGGACTGAGCTTGGAGCAGTGGCTACTTTACAACACACGCAAGGACCATTGGGGAACAAAAGGAGCCGCCCTGCAGAACAACAGTGTCAGCGTGAATTCAGAGATGATTTGAGGATCTGCAGTGATGCACAAATAAGGTACATTTTGTTAATAGTTAAAGTGACATTAAACCCTCAGATTTTTTAACATAAAACAATACTGTAATGTGTGCCTTACTGTAATCCATGGTTGTTTCCCTTCTCTTTGCTGCTCTTCCTTTTAAATCTTTATGTCTTCTCATGTTCGGAAGACATGAGGATTTTTTAACATAAAACAATACTGTAATGTGTGCCTTACTGTAATCCATGGTTGTTTCCCTTCTCTTTGCTGCTCTTCCTTTTAAATCTGTATCTGTTCTCATGCTGGCCAGAACTTCTGTTTTGCAGCAGACTGCCTTGTCTCTGGAATGGCTACATGGTGTCTGTGTGTACGTTTGCAACCTGAGCCAGCACTACAGGAAGAGGCACTCAGCTGCAAAGGGAAGTTCTCCCCAAGCATAAGAAGACATGAGGATTTAAAAGGAAGACCTCACTGCTCATTCCTTTCCCTTTTTCATCCCTCCCTCCCTCACCCCACCTGCTTGCCTTTCCATTCTACGCCTGTCTTTTCTCTCCCTGTCCCTACCCTGCATGCCAAGCACTTACATAACCCTATTTATCTGTTTTCACGTGCTAAGAAACGTTGCCAAATCTAAGTGCCAATATCCCTACCGACTGCTATGGTGTACAATGCCACATGAGGCCAACACTACACTTATTGCCTGCTCCTTGATAATGTTCTCTTTACTGCTCGAATTGCACCAACGTTGGCCTATGTGGCGAGCTGCTGATCTTTTTCATTGAGATGAACATCCCCCTCATATCCATATTGTATGCACTATGTTCTATGTATGCATTCTGGGGATGCGGTTATGATGTTGAGGCGGAGCCTCCTTGTACCATGCATATGTATAATAAAGTTGACTTCTGATTAAAATTTAAAAAAAAGCATTTGTATTAAAGAGTAACTTTACCCATATATTCAAAATAACAACAAAAGCACCTTTAGAAATGTTTACTAATGACAAACTATAAAGAGATGTTACTAGATAATTGCAGCCTTTTTATTTTTTGCATACCTTATTTTTATTTTCTTCCCCAGTCTTCTGACAGTGGCCATTTTAACTAAGGGCAGGATACTAGATCTCCTTTTACTTCCTGAAACTCTGGCACATGTGACTAGGACATGTGAGCATGCATACCATCTCAGGGGAGATCTCATCAGATTTCCCAGCAATGCACTGCTGATGTAATCTTCCCAGGATGCAACGCTTTGGCACATGACATCATGTGTGCCAAAGTGGACTAGGAAGTGGAAAAAAATAAATTGTAAGTAAAATAAAAATATGTTTGTTTAGCTAATGAATGTAAGGTGATTTCATATCAGCATGCAGAACTGTCTGCTGATGTGGTTTTTAGTCAAAGGGGGTAAGCATATATAGTTAATTTTATATATGTTCATTATTTCCATAATCGCCCCATTTAAACCACATATACATATAAAGGGAGAGAGGGATGACAGGTAACAAAAGACATGAGGAAATACCATAAGATGACAGAACATGATAAAGAAAAAAGCAGGCTCCATTTACACCTATAGTTTAGGTGCATTTAGGGAGTCCTGTGTCAGCATCTTGCAATTTCCTTCAGCGGGAATCCCAAATCTGGCGCTTACAAGAGGCGGCTGTCACACGTTCACATTCATAATTGGGTGACAGCGGCACCACACATATGTGATATGATTACATATGGTTAGCAATTAATCACTATCCCTGGACACATCGATTGTTCCTAACATACGATTACATGCGGTGTGTCAGCGTTCGGCCACTTTCAAATGCGCCCACTGTCACCCATTAATTTGAATGGGTGACAGCTGCTGCTTGTAAACGGAAGATCAGTAGGTCCTGCTGCAGGAAATCGCAAGTTCCTAGCGCAGGAATTCCAAATCGCACCTAAACTATAGGTGTGAATGGAGCCTTAAGCTAGCGATACACCAGTAGAGCTTTGTTAGAAAAAAATTGCTTGAAAATAGTTAATGGAGACAAATCAACGACAGTTGTCGATCATAGTGACTAGAAAAATTAAAGGCCCAGGATGAAAAGTTTTTCTAATTTCTTATCAGAACAAACAAAATTCTGACTGTTAATGTGGTCCTCAGTCAGAAAAAAAATGTACTTAAGCATGGGCTAGGAAAAAGTTTAATGCAAAATTAGAACTTCCATGTTCACAAACATTCCTTTTTATATCATACCAATTATGTATGATATAAAAAGAGTGTATGAAAGAGCAATGCAAGCAAAGGTTTCTGTAGAGTGCATGCTGAAATAGATGATGGCCTGATATATATTACATATATAAATGTACTTCTTTTAAATTTAAATAAACGTTGCTTGCATTATTCTTTTGTTGGTTTTTATGAGCAGTAAATAAGTTTAACCTGGGATTCCATAAAATTAGCAGATCTGGATGGAACTTTAGGATTTTTGAACTAAATTTGTTGACTAGATAGTGGCATCATCGAATCTCTAACAATTTTTCAGAATTCTAACCGTGTATAGCTAGCTTTAGAGATACTGGAAATAAAAACAGGTGAAAGAAGAGAACTGACACTTTGCTTGTCTGAAACGATCTTCAAAAAAGCCTCTATAGCACTGACCTGGCACCCGTGAGCGTAGAAAATACAGGAACTTTCCATTCTTTGAGTGCATAATTGCTCGTTTAATGAATTCAACTACAGACTGGCAGCGATCTTCAAACTTGGGATGACACCACAGACTAAATGTACCTAAGAAAGGAGAGATGTAATATATATATCACTCTGGCCAAGGCCTACACTGCAACGTTAACGCTCAGCTCCACCTAAGAAAGAACCATCTTTACCCCTTTACTTTAAATTGGTGTAAACTAAAAGGCTGGCTTCACATCTTTAAAATACCATTAAAGTGACATTAAACCCTCAGATTTTTTAACATAAAACAATACTGTAATGTGTGCCTTACTGTAATCCATGGTTGTTTCCCTTCTCTTTGCTACTGTAAAGTAGCCAGCGCTTCAAGCTCGATCCTGGGATGGACTACAATCTCATTAAAAATTAGTAAACTAAATGTGAGATTGTAGTCCATCACAAGAGGGAGCTTGGAGTAATGGCTACTTTACAACACACACAGGGACCATGGGGAACAAATGTAGCCACCCTCTAGAAGAAGGACAGTGTCAGCTGTAGGTCTGCAACTAGCCATTATTTTCATAATCTATTAGTTGGCCAGTTATTTTTTCGCTTAATCAGATTTAAAAAAATGATATACCATCTTTTATTTAAAATACAATGCACAAATGGAGTGTTACAAAAATAAAGTTTACTTCAGAATAAAACTGCATGCACAATTTTTTGCAATCGCACTACACTGGAACGCAGGGCATTGTGGGTACCAAGTGTTTCAATGCAGGCGATAACACTGCAGGCGGGAGGCGTGTTTGGGGTGCCATTGAAATGAATGGCATCGCAACACACATCCCACAGCAGAATTGGTCAGGCAGAAACTAAAAATTACTACTTTTTCCCCCATATAAAATAATGATGTGTATAGACATTTAAATTAGTTTAATGGATTTAAAACAATCTGAAATGAAAAACTACAATAAATAAATATATTTAAAAGCCTGGTCATCAGTTTAGAGTTAGCCATGCATATATTGGCCCGAGAATTATTGCTCTCACTCTGGTGCATGCAGCAATACCTGACATGTATAGTGCAATCGTAATTTTTATACATCGGTGCACCCGACTTGTGTTTCCGTTCCTATGCACGCATTTGCGGGGGCGGGGGGACTTTACATTTTTGGGGGTATTTTTAAAGCCATTATGTATTTTATTTTTTTAACCTTTATTTTAGTTGTTGTTGTTTTGTTAACTTCATTACTATCACATGGGGGAGAGGTGACAGGTTATCTTTAAAGGTGACATTAGGGGTCTATTAGACCCCTAGGGTCACCTTTCCACTTCAAAGGAGCTATATCCCCCTCCCTTTTAAATTATAAGCCCTCAGGGGCAGGGCCCTCCTTATGATCTTGTCTTGATTTGTATTGTGATTGTAATGTCTTCCCTATATTGTAAAGCGCTGCGCAAATAGTTGGCGCTATATAAATCCTGTATAATAATATATAAGCACAAAAAATGCTCCTTCAGGTCCTTATCTGCTGATTGACAGCAGGCAGTGAGCGAGTGCAATAGCTAGCCTGCTATTGGCAAAAGCCAATAGCAAACTGGCTATTGCACACACCCAATGCCTCCGAGCCTCTCCGACCCATCCAGCAGCGCCGCACCTGACCCGCCCCCCTCTCTGGCATCTCTCTCGGCCCTGGCGCCTGAAACGTTCATTGCCTTCCTACGGCTCCTATCAATAGAGGTCTAAAATAGTGCATATTCTCACCTCGATAGTGCTCCATGCGTGTGTGGTGAGTGATGCCCTGTGAGCGAAAGCTTAAGCTCAGAATATAGCGGGGATCAGAGCTGTCTCTTACTAGGAATGAGCCATCGGGTTTCCCCTTCAGCTTCATCTCTGCATCTTCCCAGTTCATGGGTCCCCAATACCAGCCACACTGTCAGGGAAGAGAAATAGTTATAGTTATAATAAACCTTTAATGCAAAGGGCATGTTAAACGTTAGGCAGAAACATGCTTTTACCTTTTCCAGCTCCCGTAAACTAGCAGCAAAGCTACTGGGATCCTGGTGTAAGATGGGGCACTGTAAGGGCTGCACAAGAGGAATTGGGGTGCACTCAGATGGCCGAATGGGAACCACTTGTGGCAGTGGTTCTGAAATGGAGAAAACACAAGAAATTCTTGAAACGCAACATCAAACTTCCAACATTTGTGTCCTAACATTAAAAAGGAATGTCCTATCAACTTGCATCACTGATAATTATCTCCCTATGTTTTTTTTAATGAGCAATATGATCTATCTGGTTGCCTGCTGCATAGATTCTGCAGTGAGCCCGGGCTCTCCTAGCTCCTCCTATTGAGGATGGAAAGCATGGATGGAAAGTTGAAGCTCCAAGCACTCACCTTGCGGGTTCAGAATGCCAGTGGCAGCTACAAGGTACTTGGAGGGGAAATTAACAAAACTGGAGCAGAATGAATCTGGAGCAGCTGTGCATGGCAACTAGTTAGCTACTATATTTAATTTTCAAAGCATAAAGTGACACTAAACTCAGGAGTTAAACCTTAATTGCATTCAGCTTAAATATTAACAAAAATGTAGCTTATATGTGCATCACTTGGCTGTAGATCCAAAAATCATCTCTGAATTCGTGCCGACACTGTCCTTCCTTCTGGAGAGTGGCTACTTTTGTTCCTCATGGTTCCTGTGTGTAGTAAAGTAGCCACCACACCAAGCTTACTCCAGTGATGGACTACAATCTCATGTTTAGCTTACTAATTTGTTTGGAAATTATAGTCCATTACAGGACTGAGCTTGGAGCAGTGGCTACTTTACAACACACGCAAGGACCATTGGGGAACAAAAGGAGCCGCCCTGCAGAACAACAGTGTCAGCGTGAATTCAGAGATGATTTGAGGATCTGCAGTGATGCACAAATAAGGTACATTTTGTTAATAGTTAAAGTGACATTAAACCCTCAGATTTTTTAACATAAAACAATACTGTAATGTGTGCCTTACTGTAATCCATGGTTGTTTCCCTTCTCTTTGCTGCTCTTCCTTTTAAATCCTTATGTCTTCTCATGTTCGGAAGACATGAGGATTTTTTAACATAAAACAATACTGTAATGTGTGCCTTACTGTAATCCATGGTTGTTTCCCTTCTCTTTGCTGCTCTTCCTTTTAAATCTGTATCTGTTCTCATGCTGGCCAGAACTTCTGTTTTGCAGCAGACTGCCTTGTCTCTGGAATGGCTACATGGTGTCTGTGTGTACGTTTGCAACCTGAGCCAGCACTACAGGAAGAGGCACTCAGCTGCAAAGGGAAGTTCTCCCCAAGCATAAGAAGACATGAGGATTTAAAAGGAAGAGCAGCAAAGAGAAGGGAAACAACCATGGATTACAGTAAGGCACACATTACAGTATTGCTTTATGTTAAACAATCTGAGGGTTTAATGTCACTTTAAGGTACTGTAATGCATTTTTAAGATTAAACTGCTCAATTTAGTGTCACTAACTAGAGAAAGGGAAGGGAGAAGCTGCTTGGTTGCCATGGGCAACTGCTCCAGATCCTGCCTGCACCAATTTTCCTCCCTCTGTGTCCCTGATCTAAATAAGCTGAGGGTAGATCAGGGACAAATACCAAATGCCTTCATAAAGTGTATCTGTTACTCTATGTAGTATCACATACTGTGAAATCAAGTTAAAACGTTTATTTAAACAATATATGTTGAAAATAAAAAAGTGATATAAATATATACATATATGCAGCTTGAAAGTATACATAGAAAACAAATACCACAAGTAGCTTTGTGTTAAAGCATATGGAGGTTTCCATTCACATAAAACATTTAAAAATTGCCGCTTTCAGTGCTTTTTCTTGCTTAGAAAGCCTATCGTGCTCCCCCCTGGAATGTTATATAATGCTGTCCATTAAAATAAGGGTGATCCCAAACCGCACGAGGTAGAAGAAACATTTAAGGGACATCATTTATATTTAAATGAGCTGAGATGTAAATGTGTCCCTTGTTTATACATTTTTGCCATTTTGGAAGCATTGGTAATTTTAAGACTAGCTACATTCTGTACTTACTAATGTGGAATTCCTAAAGTTCTTAAAGAAAAAAATTGCCATTAGTTTTTCTGCAAAGGAGACAAAATTCATCTCTTTTCTTTTCTGTGTTAACTGCACATGCTCTATTAACCATGTCAAAAATTGAGAGGTTGGTTGCTCAATTGCTGAAGAGGAGCAACGCAGGACCCATAAGCATTGGAGCAGATGATGACATTGGTGGATGGAGCAGCAACAGTGAGCCAGGTCTGTCATTACTAGAGGAGGGAACACTAGCAGGTAAGTGTGCCATAAAAATCCAAATTATAGAAAGAGGCCACCAAGAGGACTTTAGTTTTGTTTTAACTGGACACAATTCCATCTTTTTATTTATGGAAAATTTAGATATCATGTTGTGTTATTGTACACATTATTGAAGATATAGATTTCTTAAACACTTCAGCAGGGTTTCCATAACTCTTTTATAGTGCTTTTTTTCAGACTCGCCTTGCTACTAATATTTTTAAGGGAGAATGATAAACTGAGTAGGTCAATGGCAGTTCTGATAAAAAAGATTTAAGGTGTTTATTTAGCAATTATTTAAAAATAATCCAAAAGCAAAAACGGGGTTCATACAGTCCCCAACACAAACAAAACACAGGTTGTGGTTAAAACAAAGAGACAACACACATACACACCACCAAGAAATAATTTCATTCATATCCCTATATATCCCTATTTAGAGTGCTCTAAGTGCCCCTACTAACCATCAGCCAATTAATCATCCTTCTTATAACCAATATTATCAATCATTACACAGGTCTGTGACTAAAAAGCTGTTTGATTATTTTCATCTAATTTCCATGTATTTTGGTGTGCTGAAAACAAATAAAATATTGAAAAAACTCCTAGACGTCATGATTTGCCACAACATGCAAAATTGTCTTCAAATACAGTATATCATTTTTTTTAATTTTTTTTATATTATGGGTTTTTAACCAAATTTAAAGTCCAAATTACTATTAATTAATTCACATAAGTGCATTTAAGATATAAAATGCCAAAAAAAACTTAAAGGGTTTGTCCGAGTTATGTAAAAAAAATTGCACTGTAAATCTGATGGTCAGCAATATATACATAAGCTAAGCAAGTTTTAAGTCTGTTCTTCTAATGGTAGAAGGGGTTAATCTTTCCTGAAGAATCCAGTGGGAGGGAGACACAGGGCAGATAGCAGCAGCTCCGGTCAGTGCAGGGGGCGTGGCCAGCACTGTGACTTCTCGTGTACAGACACAGAGCTGCTCTCTCCTGCATGCCACACTGATGCACGAATCATCATCAGCTTCTTGGTTCTAGGCTGTTCACACTTTTTTTTTTAACCATAGTTTTTATTCAACATTTTTCACAATACAGGTAATGAAAATCACAGTTGCAAGACCCATACAATATTATGTGGCAGAGGACAAAATAACCAAAGAAAATATGGCCAAAGGCCCAATATTTGCATAGGCGTATAAGCCAATCCTTTGCATAGGTGTATAAGCCAATCCTGAAAAGCCAGTGGGCCCTTAAAATGCTAGGGTCCAAACAAATTAGTACAATTAATTCAAAAAAATAAGGCACCTATCATAAAAGCAAAGTAAAGTAGCGATTATTATGCACGTGGTGTACAAATCTTTGCTAGTACATGGGTCAGAAAGCGACATAAAGCTTTGGGGTGGGGAGGGGGGAAAAAAGGGGTGGGGGAGGTGTAACATTCTAAGGGAAAAGGGGAGAACAAGGGATAACATAAGTAATAACCAATCTTGGCAATACAATGTTAAAGTATTATTTATACTATTAATTTACTACAGCTGCAAATTATTGGATCTGAAAAAGTCTAAGTGGTGCAGAGATCATATACATATGGGAAGAGGGGGATGCTGTATAAGACACATTTGCCTCAGGAGAACTGTGCTAGCATGACCCGCTTGAGGTAGAAGATTCCATCACACCATTCCAGAGCTACAACGTTTGTCAACCAGCAGCCCCAATCTGTATTGAACTTCTGTTCCCTGAGATGAGCTCTGGCAAACAGAAATTCAAAATGCATATGTGTGTTAAGTGTGTCGATCATCATTGACATGGTCGGGATTGCCTGTTGTTTCCACAACCTAGCTATAACTAATCTAGCTGCTCGCAAGGAGGGGGGCCAGTCCAATATACCTAGGAGGGCCATCTGCGGGGTAGGAGGGCATTTCAGATGAGTGATGTCACTAATGAATTTAAAGACGGATTCCCAGAATGGAGCAAGTGTAGGGCAGTGCCACCAAATATGGTGAAGCGATCCTGTCCCACCACAATTACGCCAACATAGTGGGGATGAGGTTGGGAAAAACTTGGCCAACTTATGTGGGGTATAATACCAATTGTGCAGCAGCTTCTGGGTGGATTCCCAATGAGATAGACATCTAGAGGCCTTTAGGGGCCAGGCCATCGTTCGATACCACTGCTCAAGAGATACTGAGAATCCCAATCCCCTTTCCCACCAAGTTATCGAGGAAAGTTTAACCTCAGTCGTGGGAGTAGTTAAGATTTTGTAGAAATAGGAAATACCTTTCTTGTTTGAAGATGTTTTAGAAAAGAAGACTATTGCACTTCTCAGGTGTGTAGAATCATTAAGTTTTGTCTTAGACAGGAAATGTCTAATTCTAAGATATTTGTAGAAGTCTCTGACAGGAACATAAAATTGTTGGCAGAGAGTGTGAAATGATTTCAACACCTCGCCAGAGAATAATTGACCCAGGTGTGTGATACCACATGCCTTCCATTTGGAAATGCCCAGGTCACTAAGAACATAATCCAGAGGAGCCAATGGTATATTACTTGAACATTTCCCAATGCTTGTGGAAGGGGTGAGGCTTAAAGATGTCCACACTCTCATAGTAGATGTAACTGTATCTAGGTAATATTTAGGTGGAGTGTAGTTTAGAAGCGTAGTGTGCAACAGCAGGTTTAGGTCAGAAGAGATTATTGCCGATTCCATTCGATTCCATATTTTAGCAGATTGGGGGGACCACCAATGTCGGGTCTGGTCTAAAATTGTGGCCTTATAATATTTTGCGATGTCCGGGGCTCCCA